TGTGGATGCTTTGCCCCAAAGTTTGGTGTCATCGGCGAACTTGGCCAGTCCGCTTCTGACTCCAATGTCCACATCATTAATGAAGATGTTGAACAGTATGGGTCCAAGGAGAGAGCCTTGGGGGACCCCACTGGTCACAGGGCACCATGACAATTGACTTCTGTCACTTACACCCTCTGGGTCCGACCACAGAGCCAATTTCCCAGCCAGTGGATCGTGGTGGACCCCAGGCCACAACTGGCCAGTTTCACCAAGAGGTGATCATGGGATACCAGATCAAAGGCTTTTTTGACTCTTGCTTCCACTTGCAGTCCTGCTGCCTCTGCCCCTTGAGATTTCTGGAAAAAGTCTTGATGGCTATCAAGCTCTCTGCAGCTGGAGCACCAAGTTGCTTGGAAGTAGCTGCTTGCTTTGGTGAAAAGTCCTTGGCTTCAGAGAGGGGATGGCAGCTTGGACCTTTCTACAGAGTCACTGTTGATTGGGATGGATGCCACCACACCACTCACCTGGGACCAACCAGATGGGGTTTGTTCATATTTGGCCATCAGATTGGTCTCCATCCAGCCCCATAGGGAAACACAGAGATGTTGACCATACATAACTGTGAAACTCCACTCAAAAGTCCAATGCTCATTAAGAGTCAGCAATTTGGCCCCTATATGCCCAATGGATGGCTCCCTTCATAGAAATGACACTGCAAGGAGCCCACAAGGAAACTGGGTAGGCAGTAGCCTCTGGGGCACAATCCCCGATTCTTGGATGATCGTTTTTAACATGAGGCTGCATGCCATGTGGAAATTGCTGTGTGGACTCCTTTATCAGGGTCACACTCCCTTCCTTTTCATAAGTCTCTGAGGATGCCCATGCTCAGGAGAGTGAGTGTCTTGAAGATCCTCTGCTGCACAAGTTTCCTCCCTGACGCACCGGTGGCAGAAATCATTCACATCAAGCCTGCTACAGGGGTGATGGATGAGAAGCACTGGCCCAAGTCACCCTTGTGCCGTTTCACTGTGAAATGCTAAAGGCGACAGGGTCCAGGGATTTCGAGAGCCCTTCGAGGGTACTTGTCTGAGCCTGAGCTACAGCCCACATTGGACACCAAGAAAAGCATCTAGCCCAGCATCTACAAGGGTGCTAACTGACAATCCCCTAACCCAGGTTATAGCAGAGCCCCGCTCTTAAGCCTAGTATGAAGGCTTGGCTAGGCTGCGGGCCGTCAGCCGAAAAGAGCCTCTGCTGTTCCCTCCGCCCTGCCATAGCTGTGCCAACACAGCCCCCTTGTGGAGATGCCGAATATGCTGTCAGGAGCTCTCCGACTGTCCGCCCTACCTCGCCCCATGGGCATGAGCTAAGACGGTGGCGCTCAACCTTCCTAGACTCAAGGCACCCTCAGAAAATGCCAGCTCTTAGCTTTCACTCATTTTTTTTGACTACGAAAAAACCAGCAGAGCAATTCTTCTGTTGCTCAGAAAACTCAGACCAGGGCAGGATGTTTTTAACGCTACGGATTCCTATTTGAAGTCTCTGGGTTTATTCTTGAGAATCCTGTGCAGGAGCTGACACGCCTCACAGTGGTAACACTGCAAAAGACTCCCGTGGGACCCAGGGTGCCATTAGCATGGCTGAATGTCGTGGAGCTGAGCTAACATGCCAAAAAGGGCACCCTTGTTGGCATAGCTGCATCTCCAGCAGCGGTTCTGGTAACAAGGCCTAGTTCAGACAAGGTCCAAAGCTAATGCAGCTGCAGGCTACATGCAGGTGAAGACAGCACTGTATTAGCAGAGCTGTCAGAGCCTGGTTGTAGGATGGCTGTGAGGACAGGAGATGCTGCAGGTCACTGGCAGTGTTGAGGGAGGGGACCCTGAGCATTAGCTCTCATGCTGCGAGCATCTTCTGAACCATGATGAAATGAGGGGAAACGCCCAGTAAAGGGCTTTGTTTAAAGCCTTCACCCCTGATCCTTGCCAGCATCACTGCCCTCAGTTCCAGGAGTAAAATACCTGCCTACACCAAGGAACCTTTAATAGAAACCAAAACACCTTTATGCAGAGCGGAGGTGCTGGAAGGCTCTGGCAATGCATAAAAGAAGAGCAGCATCCACTCCTCATTGCTAGGCTCCTGCCCCTTCAGCTCCCAGGAGGACCGAGCCACCCCAGCAAGCGATGCCCCTCATCATAGCACACAGGCCTGATGCAGCCCCCGCTACCAAAGGGAGCGCTGGCTTCGAGGAGGGAAGAGGAAAACAGCTATCCAGCAGCACCAGAAGCTGCTTGTTCCCCAGAGAAATGAGGAGGTCTTTTCTGGCACCAGCTCCCACCGGCTTTTCAGCACTGAAGCAAGTAATTAAACAACTCGACCTCACCTGTACAAGCTCCTTCTGCTTTCTCCTAGAGACCCGGTGGTCTCCATCGCTGACCTCTTGTTCCTGGGCATTGTACTGTGGGAGGTTTTGTGGCCCAAGAGACTGAGCAGCAGGTGGCCAAGGATTTCCTGCTTCCATTCCTGATGTGCTGCCTGGCGCTGAGCCAGTTGCATTATTGCTGAATGGCAGCTTCCATTCAAGGGCCCAGCTCCCAGCACACGGGGCCTAGTTTTCTGAGGGTTTGAAAATGGAAATAGCATCAACACCTTAGTATCTCCCTCTGCAGCTTACAGGGGCTCTAGAAATGAGCCTGCAACCTCTCACACTGGAATCAAAACCCCTGGGCAGCTTTCCTTTCGTTCTCCATGACCATTGCTGCTCTTCACTTCTTGGGCTTTGCTCTCTGGTTTACAGCATAGCAAGCATGATCAAGATCATGGGAGCTCGTATTTGACTGCTGAAGGCTGCCATTGGCATAACACTTTTAGAGCTGGGTAAGCCCCTCCTAGCTGCACCAAAGGAAAAAAAAACATTAGTAGGTCTGGGCTTTTCCACCCAGTAAAAGGGGACCTGCTGAAACTGGAGGAAAAGATTCTGCACAAGCCTTCTTAGCCTTGGTCTTCACTCAGTCTGCAAAGGCAGCAGCTGGGAGCAACTGGCAGCCCACAGCCTATAGTTCCTCTCCTGGTATAAGTGATCCTCATAGTAAGTAGCGCCCAAAGGCTGAGAGCACAGTGACTTTTGACAGGTCAGAAGCAGCACTTGAAAGGCATTGTCTGCAGTAGTTTGGGGCCTATGGTATGTTAGGGCATCACTGGATTCAGTGCTAGGCTACCAGAGCTAGCTCTTTTGTACAAGCATGTGCACAGGGGCACAGGAGCATCATAGCCAGCCCATGGTCTGCCTCATCTTGGGGTCTTCCCTAGTACCAAGCTCTTCAGAGCAGTGCAAGAAATTGCATGGGGCAGAGGTGGGATGATGTGAAGCCCAAGGCTTCACCCTAAATGGTCTGGACTGGGCTTAAACCAACATGTGAGGATTCCTCCCCCATCCTCCCTGTTCACCTCCTCAGAACATGCTGCCATTCCCAATTCTGTGGTAGATCATCCTTCCCTCTCTTTTCCAGCTGGGGGCTGCTGAAGTGCTGACAGCCTCCTATTCTAGCCCCATCCTGGAGACAATTTACATCTCTGGGAAGGACAGGAAAGCTATCCTTTGCCCCCTGCTCCAACTGCTGAAGGCCTTACCCTTTGGCCCAGTTACCCAAAGTTAGCAAGCCTCCTAGTTCTCAAAGCAATTCCTGAAATACAAGGGAGGATAACTGCCCAGCAAGGGGCCATGGTATGTGGGGCTGACCCCCCAGAGGACATGTCTCCATCCCCAACAGGGCCTGGTCTTGTGAAGAAGATCCTGCTGCATTCTGAATTGTGACCTGACACAAGCCCCCATTTAAATCTACCAGCACTGCTCTCCTGTGCGATTAGACAGTATCCAGGATACAAAGCAGACCAACCAACCAGAGGACATGCTCAGCTTCCTCCTGAGCAGTGCTGCTCACCCCCACATCAGCCTGCATCCCCACACTGACTTAGTCACAGGCTGAAGGACAGAGAAGCTGATACTGTCCCTACAAGGAGCATAGTGGCAGCTGGCCTCCCTCTGGCCACCTCAAAGGAGGCAGCTCCCTTTGGGGGACTGATGTCAGTAAATAAGAAACAATATATGAACATACTGGGCCCAGAGGATTGGACCCCAACTAGCCCCCCATGGGAAAATCCCTCCCCCCACCATTTTCCCTGCATTAGTTTTCAATTAGGGCGCAGATCTCGCTCCCAACACTGAACTCCACAGGTACGAAGAACCAACCCAGCCTTGCTTTTGAGGCCATGGCAGCCACCAGTCAAGGAAACCGACTGCTCCCCAGGTCAGGTCCTCGGGCATTTCTATGGAGCCTAAGGAAGGGTGTGCTGTGTGGCAGGAAGCCACCTTTGTTCCTCCCCAAAATCTCTGCTCTGTGACAAATTGATTAGGAAGGGCCCAGCAGAGGAGACACCCCTTTACCCTCTCTCTTTAGGTAACCTGAGCTGGCTACATTCATGAGGGAGGGGGAAACCTGCTCCCTTGGCCTACTGACTTGCATCAGCTACCTGGGTGAGGGGCTTCTACCTGGTGGGCTAGAGTCTGCCCGGCAACCAGTGATGTATT